CCCCCCCACCCCCCAAAACATCCCTAGCAGCACTCCCTCCAGGATGGGGTTGAGGTATATTGGCAGGGCAGAGACGGGAAGCATGCAGCACAGGTCCCCATCCTTGGGCCCACAGTGTGGCAAGAGGATTTCAGTCTCCAAGGCAAACCACCGGCACCTTTCCCTAGCTCTAAACTCACCAAAATAAGTGGGTGTTTCGAGTCCTGACATACAGACGTTGCATCAGTGCCCAGAGCTGATCCGTGGAGCTGTGCTTCCCTACTCAGCTCAGCCCAGACTTCCTGTCCCTGCTCCCAGTGACCCCAGAAGCTAAGTGGTATGCCCTACCTGTAGCATCCATTGCCCTTGACCTTTCTTTCCATTCAATGCTTACTACAAACCTGTGCTAAGAGCCAACTGGCCCCAACCAGAATGACTGGATGGCTGACTTCTCTCCTCTCCAGAGAGCTCTACAGCATCAGACCTGTTGTAGTTTGAAGGATTCTTATGAATGAATGAATCCACAACTCCTTTAACAACTAGTTTCCTATTTAAATGTCCTTGGATTTAAACTTTACCCTATGCCTTCTCTTTCATTTGATTCCGACCTCACTGACCGATGAGAATCGATTCCTGCCCTCTTTGATGCACCTCTACACACTGGGAAATAACAAGCATTCCTCACATGCGAAACACAGGTTCCTTATTGCGTGTGCACACGTTCCTGCACCTTTGCTTCATTCTGCTGCTGCATGACCCAAGCTCAGCTGTCATGCGTCACCAAGTGGCGCTCTCTGCTAAAAGTCTAGAAATGCCACCGGATTTCAAACTACTGCATTCCCAACATATTGCAAGATTGATGCTGGGACCCTTCAGGTTGACCCATGATATAATGCTGACCAGAATGGCTGCACCCCACCTGACCAGTACCTTATGGAGAGCCCATCAGTTGTAATGGAAGCAGTTTGAGGGGAATCAACTGCTTTAATAAAAGTGCTTAACAAAGATTTGGTCATGGCTCTCACTTCCTTGAGGGAAACATTTTCTAAATTGCCAGTTCCATGTGAGGTGGGTTTTTTTTTCTTCTTTTGAGCTGCCTCAATCCCCCTCAAGAAGAGGGTACCACACACAACAAGCCTCTACTATGTAACAGTCCAGCTGTAACAAAACAAGCTAATGCTTGACCATCTATCCCCTTTTAACTGACACAACTGCCCTTTCACCTCTCAGCCTGTCCTATTTGACCTACAGGCAGCGTCACGTGCAACTATTTCCATGTTTTGTCCCTTCCTTCAGGACATTACTAAAATATTCCTTTTTCAGTCTGTTTCTCATAGGCTGGAATGGGCCAATTCATCAGACCTACCTCGACCAGAGGCCGCATGGCCTATTCAACACACACGCACACACTGCTCTCTATTTAGTGTATTAGACCACTCTGTATCCTCAGCATGAGGCGAGTGTACAGCATTGGATTAGGCTTCCTACCCTCCTCCCGCCCTCAGCCTGAAGTGGTTTAGCTGATCAAGCCATGATGGGGCCAGTAGCTACTTCTGATTATATAAAAGGGAACGGGGCACGTAACAGAGGCGTTGGTTTTACTCTGGCGGTTGGATCATTTAGTTTATATTAAAGAGCAGGGTAGAATTCTAGCTCCTCACTTATTCCACTGGCAAGTTGAATATTTGGCAGGTTACACCATAAAGTTCACTATTCACATAGGTTGGCGTTTGAAGAACTATCCCTTTGCATGGCACAGTCCAACTTCTCCCTCCTTCATCAGCACCAGATGGTACAATTCCTTTTCTTTTTTTTCCTGTTGCACCAGCTGGATGCATCTGGCTTGGGAGGGACGCCAGTCTCCCCTTTCAGTCGCTGCTAGTGGTACACAGTCTGTTACCTCCTTCCCCTCCACTCTCCAACTGGTACAGTCCACCCTTGGTTTGGAGTTGAAATGTGAGTGAATCAAGTTCTTCCCTCCCACCCTCATACGCTACTGTCCTCTAGGAGGGGCTCCTTGCCATCTGATCCTCCAGCCTGCGGGCTGTGGGTGTGGGTCTGGGCCCCGTTGCTGTGTTTCTTGTGGCTGCCTGATCTCAACGCAAGGTTGTGTTCTGGGATGAACAAGGCCACTAGGAGCGACAGCAGGACAGAGCAGGCTCCAAAGAGGAAAGGGGGCCCTGGGATGATGCTACTCTGTAAGGCAAAGCAGAGGAATGATTAACGTTGAGACATGTGGAGAAAAGATGCAAAACCCAGGGTGATGCTAGGCAGGTACCTCATCAGTGGGGTTGGCCATGTTGGGCTTTGTGGCTTTCCCCAAGGTCTCCACCTCAGCCATTTCGTTCAGCTCCACGTGGAACAGGTAGAAGACAAAGCCATAGAGCGCCGGCCCCAGCCCATTACAGAGGCCCCGAATTCCGGTAATCATCCCCTGGACCACACCTAGGAAAACAAGGTAGGGACAGAGAAGACATCAGCCTCCACCTTTCTGAAGGGCTTCACCAGGCACATAAGAGGTTCCCTAACACTTGGAAGACTGGTAAAACACATATAAGCCAACAAGCGTCTCAAGACGCATCCAAGCTCCTACTTGGCTACAGTCGTCTACAAACTCATCAATAGGAAACTTGCTGCTTTCCAGAATGTGATGAACACTGTTAAACTGTACAAAGACATGCAAGACATTTAAGGGTGTCAGACTTCAGGATTCAAGGGGCAAGCTTGAGATAGGGAAATGATCCAGATCCTTCCCCTCTGACCTCAAATGATTGCTCATGTGGCTTATGAAAGTTTTGCTAAGGCTGCCTTCTTCAATCAGCAGATATTGCTACAACCAGGATACAGGCAAGATAACTGTATTAGCTCATACCATCAGTCTGTCAAGTCCCACGCTCTCTTGGTTGTATAAGTGCCTGTTTAGAGGACTTGCATTCTACATGCTAAAGGATTAACATGGATGATGGCTGTCATGAGGCCTTGAAGCCACACAGCCGTGACAGGGCAGGGCAAGACGATTACCACAGTTTAAAGGGTTAAAGACAGATTTATACCACCTGGAGTGGCAACTGCATTTCCGCCCCACACAAAGCGTAGAACTGGGAGGTTTGTTTGGACAGTTGTGGGACAGGTGGTCCAAACCCTTAGACAAGCTCAATGGGCCACTCACCCTGCTGGTCAGGGTCTGCGTTTCTGGACACCATGGCACTAATGGCTGGAAATGTGATACTGGACATTGCAGCCACCGCTCCTGCAGCCCACATCATCCTAGAGGAAAGAACGGTCAAAAAAATCAACTGGAGAGGAGGAGGGCCTCCACACACAGAACAATATAAGCCAAGGCAAAAGGAGCAGGCACACATCTCCCCCTGGCGGCTAAAGGGAGAGCACCTCACAGAACCGCACAGGGCACAGAACTGCCTTGGGAGGGGAGGGACCAGAAGCATACCAACATGCAGTTTGTCAGACAGTGTTGATCAACTCTTACCAAGGCTGTGATCCAAAGCCGTACCAGGCAAGCTGCAGGATCTGGAAGCCTAAGCCCAAGAGGATGGTATTCTTGTTTCCTATTGACCGCATGAGAATTCCCAACACAACTGTCTGAAGAGAGAAAATGAAACACTATCATCTTCCTTGGTTTAACATACTTGGAAGTGAATGGGATAGAAAACAAAGAGACTCTCTGCACTGCAGGCTCTGTTGTCAGGCCCTTGGGCTGTTCTACAGCCTGCAAAGTGTGCTTGTATAAGGGATCACAAGGCTAAGACGTGTGGCTGGCAGAAAAACTCCTCCTTCACTTCTGGCTAGGTTTCATACGATGCAGGGATTATCATCATTAGATGGAGACACCTGCAGAGGCCCATCTAATGCAGTCCCTGTGCCCACAGCAAGTGTAGGCATTCTCTATAGGCTACTCTCTCTTTCCAGGTCTAACCTAAATGTAAGTGTTCTCAGAAGCAAGGCTTCCACTTCTTCCTCTGGCAAGTGTTTTTAAAGGCAATACATCTGACTGCTGAGAAGCTTCTCTTTAATTCACCCCATTACTTTCAGATACAAGCTTTGTATCACTTGAAAGTTCATCCCCCTTCAGAGAGGGCACTACTGCTACCCTGCTTGGTCTTTCTATCTCAACTGAAGGCTTGAAAGGCAGGACTGCCACTCCAGTTAGCATTATATGAATAAAATGGACACTCCTGAGTTGCCAGAGAGAGGTTACAGTCTTCCAGAGCACTCCACAGCTACTCAAGGGCAAAGCTGAATGAATGACAGCTCTTTAGTGATGAGCTCAAATAACCAGTACTTTCTACCTCATCCATCACAGAAGATAGAAATACATTATGAATCTGCGCACATGACTAAAGGTGCATGTGTGCGCAGCCACTGGGATTCATTTCATAACCAGGATGTTTGCGAGCGTAGTTTCCCCAAAGACTACAGAATACTGGTTCTCACCTGAGCCAATATAGAGAGGATTCCCACTACCCCAATGAAGGCTGCTACAGTCTCGGAGGAAAATCCAATGACCTGCAAAGGCATCAGAAAGGAATGCTATTCCAGGCACAGGACTTTGCACATACAAGCCAGTGTTAGTGTTTATTGCCTACATATCACGTAAAGTGGACATCAAACAACCACACTGTCCACAAACCTTGTGGCAAAGTGACCATTACAACAATAAAATGGAAGATATTCTTATTGACTACAGATAACTAAGTAAATGGAATATCCTAAAATGCCTGAAGGTAACAGGACAGAGAAGGCAGCTAGTGGCCATCCAGGGAAGGGTTGCACAGATAATGCAGGACCCATGTAAATGTTAGGTTTCTAGGAAAGGGAGCAGGTCACTGGTTCTTTCTCTTGCACCGTTGTTGGTGCTACTGCCACACAGCACCTCCTCAAACCAGAATTGCTGGCGTGCAGTGAAAGTAAAAGTCCCTCCAATAAACTGGAGGTTGTGGGGAAGAAGCTGCCCCAGAGAGTGCAGACAGGAAGGAAATAAGGACGTGCACGAGACTATAAATTGTGAGGCTCAGCCTTCAGCCCCTGTATGTTTCAATAGTCTAACCCCGATGACTGACCTGTCGCAGGTACAGGAAGAAGCTGGAGTACTGGCCAGCTTCAGGAAGGTAAGAGAGGAAAACGGTGATGCATATGAGAAGCACCGTGGAGTCTTGGCCCACTTTGCGGAGTGACTAGAGAAAGGGACAAAGCAAACAGCATATTAGCCCTCTCTGATCTGAGCCCAAATGCATCTCCAGCAAGGAAAAAGCAGACAGCATGTATTATCTGTTACGTGGAGCACCCTGCAGGGCTCATTCTGAAACAGAATTTCAAGATATTAGATGTGTCTGTGACAGTCAGTCAGCCCAGCAAACAGCTCCTGCTTCACACCCCTCACACCCTGCAAGTGTGGGAGCTTTATCCAGTTAACAAACCATCAGAAAATCCAGCTGGATGTCTGCAACTCTGACTCTCCTCAGAACATAAACAGAGCAGATCATTGAAGCTAACCCCTCCCAGACTGCATACAATGCTGCCTTCTCTATCCCAGATTAATACTGAGAAATCATTCCCAAGTCACTCTTAATTAAGTGCCCTCCATGGCCTCTTACTTCACCCGTGTTCAGCAGAACTGCTTTTTCTTAAAGAAAATACAGTGGCTGCCAGGCTCAGAGAAACACAGCTTGCCAGATCCTAGCACCTCTCCATAGTGTCTGTTAATTACAAGGCAGCAGACAACACCTGATGGTTCAGAGGAAGGTGTGAAGACTGCCATAATGGGCCGGATGGCTGCAGAATATTGCACATGGATGAGGTGGGTGAGAAAGGCCTGGACCATCGCAGATAGGCAGCTCCTACCTTGAAGTAAGGGACCTGTCACCCTCTGACATCTCAGTCAGTGCCATCAGAAGCGTTAGCAAATAAAATGCTCCCTTAAGATGCAACCAAGCCAGGCTCCACACCTCTTCTGGGACCTAAGGAGGTCTCCCCCATGGAAAGAGCAGCACTAACCTGACATGTCTCTTGTGTAAGACAGTGCAATTGTGAAGCAACAGGCCTTGAATTCACACAACAACATGTTTCTACCATGAGAAACTTGCTTCAGGCAGATTGGAGCTGTTTTTAAGACACTGTAGCTGTGTAAACTCAGAAGCCAGCTCTGGAAAGCTGCCAGTCATCAACATCCAGGCACTGCTCCCCTGAGAGGGGCTGACTTCACATCCCTCATCTCATAAAACATACTTTCATCCTGTCAGAAAAGGAAACCTGGGACTTGGGTGAATATAGATGTGGAGCTGCAGGGAAAGATAAGCAGCAGTGGAAGTACTTACGGCAAATGGATCAGCCTGTTCCCAAGATATAGGGGCTCCCCAGGATACAGGGCGCATTTCTTCAGGCAGCGACTCTGGGACAGCCAGCAGAATGAAACCGATATCCAGCAAAGCAACACCTGAAGCCAGCACCACCACCAGCGTGTCACTGTAGGCACGGGACAGATATGCACCAATTGCTGGACTTGTGACCAGGCTGGCAGCAAAAGTGGCTGAAACCTGAAGCATGACACAAAAGTTATTGTTGCCTCCTCTGGCCCGAACCTCTTCCCCAGTACAGCCCATGGGCAGCACCTCCATCTACTCTGGAAGTGATAATCCATAAGGACATAGGCTTCTGTATATAGCTTGCCCTCTTGGTATGGTTCTAGGCAATGGGGAACAAAAGGCATCTCTGCCAGTGCCTTTAAGACATTTGCACGAACCCTGTGAAACCCACAGAAGCAGAGAAGCCAGCACTTCTGGCTGCAGAGAAACAAGCCAATGAGCTCCCCACACTGTGCTACTTATAGCACAGGCTGGAATAAAAGACCAAAGGACAATGCAGCTGGTCTTTGTATTTCACAGCAACAAATGCCAGGGTTGATTTCTGAGGCAGTAATGGAAGAGGCAACAAACTGCTTTGTGAGAGATGCAGAAATTCTGGGGAAAATACCCATAAAAAAGCCAGAAGACACCCCCCCACTCCTTAGCTTTTCAGCAATTCTTTAACATCCTTCTTCACAGGGGAAGCCAATATCGCAAGTCCTCACCAAACCATAAGCCGTGCTGCGTTCATGCTCCTGAGTGATGTCAGCAACATAGGCAAAAATCACAGAGAAGGTGACAGCAAAGACTCCAGACATGGAAATGACAGCAAAATACCACCTGGAAGAGATGGTCCCAGGACAGAATTAAAGGATGCCACACAACACACACAGTATTCTAAGGCTGCTGGGCTTCAGTTTTGTGCCCTGCAACACTTCATGGCTTGAAAGACCATGAGACGGGGACTACTGCTCAATAACGAGCCAGTTCTCATCAAGGGAGCAAGACTCTAGAAGGCACTTCTTCTGACTAGTAATGAATCCAGTGGTGAAGCAGAGTAGTGAGAAACCTCTGGATTAAGAAAAGGCTCCATCATCTCCAGGGGCTTTCTATGAACGATGTGAATCTCTGCAAGTCTCATCCATTGATGGCACCTCCCACTGCCATCTCCAGTGCCCTCTTCTGGCACTCAGCTCTGTATGAGCACTGTTCATTAGGAAAAGAACAGACTCACCAGGGACTGATCTTCATGAGAGGGATTGGCGCACATGTGAAGAAGACAGTGAGGAGAAGAAAGGACTTCCTGCCCCAGACATCAGAGAGCGCACCGATCAGTGGGGCACTTAGAAAAGACAGCAGACCCTAGGAGAAGACAGACAGATTCACACCGACTGAAATCCCAAACCCTCCAGCAGTCAGGAGGAAAGCAAGAGTTAAACATCACCAGTACAGATGCCAGGAGGCTGCAATCCATTCAGTCTGTTTTCTAGAAGGCAAACCATGACAGTTCATTAGGCAGCTTAAGCCTTTATATTGGAAAAGCAATCAACTTGGCACTGCTCAATGCTCAGAAATTCTCTCCCCTTTCCCTGCAAGTGCACAGCTTGCAACTGTGGCCTTCCCACGAGCATTTGGGCACCAGTGAGTTGTCACTGCCACAATGCCTGAAGACACTGGCACATCTCCAGAACATCAGTGTCTGCTGAAGTTTGGGGAAAGTTCTGACTTTTCTAGACAGAGACCTGATGCTTCTGAACAGAGGCCCAGGACATTCAGCCCCTATGAGTTCTCCAGCCCGGGTCTTACAGACTCACAACAGAGGGCAAGAACAGACTCGCTCAGCTATACAAGAGATTATCTGAACTGCTCCATTTCAGGATAGAAAAAGCACTTTCTCCATGATAGCTCTCTTCCGTTCTCTTTATTGCAGTCCCCCTGTCAAATCCAAAGCATAAGTCACTATGCTATTTTGTCACATTACCAAGCAAATCAGAAAGTTTGTTTCATTGCTTACTGGAATCTGCCACTCCCCTCCTGATACTGAACTTAAAATCACTTCTCCAGTTGCTACACTGCTCTGCAATCCCTACTTTATGTTGTAAGAAGGTACAATTTCTAAATCATGGTTGTTTTTAAATGGCATTACTTCAGCAGCCAGGATTTCTAACATTCCAGGACCAGATCACTAGGCTGCTCTCAAACTGCTCTGCTGTGTTTTTAGCTTAACTCAGAAAGCCTTGAGGCCTGTGCTACCTCACCAGATTTCCAGGCTAGAGGGAATGAGGCCACCCAAGTGGGAAAGCATGCAATTCAGCGTTCATATCCTTTCAATTCTGCACTTTTTTGCTCAGCTTGCCAATAAGGTAGCTCAGCTACCTTATACTGGGCTGAACCAAATATTGGGTCCATACATTGGGCTGAACAACCAAATACATGCTGACTCTATTTACGATTGACCCTGGTCTGTCTGGAATGAAGCCCAGATGACAGGCCAGTCTAGCCTGCTGCATATGCTTTCATTCCACCGATTCCTTAATATGGGTGCAAAATTCCTTACCTTGACTCCATGGATCAAGCCATTCATCAAGAACGTGTGCTGAGGAAAAGTCTGGTGCAACACCTAGGGAGACAAAGCAACAGCTT